TTATTGAAACGAAGAGAGAGAATAAAGACACGTAATGGAGCCCAGATGAGCTTGTCCAGACCCCATCAGTGCTGTGATGCTTCTCAGGGCTTCCTTTCTCCCGGCTCTTTCTGTCCCTGCCTTCCTCTCTGGCTCCCTGTTTGTCAGTCCTTCCTGTGTGTCTGTGTTTATATGCCTTCTTTGTTGTAGGCAGGCTGGCAGCTCCCCAGGGCAGAGAACAGCCCACAGTTGAGGAGTGGGTAGGCTTTTCCAGCAGAGCTGCATTCTCCAGGACAAAGGCCTGCCGGGAGGCTGCTGGCTCCATCAGCAGATGGGAGGCTTTGGGCGGGTGGACCTGATGGAGTCATCTAGGAGTTTCATCTTGTTTATTCACACGTTAGAGTCCAGCACATTCCAATATTAAAATAGTGATATACTTTTTAAAATATGTGTATTTTGTGCAATGTCTTGGTTTTATTTTATTTTCTATATATATACTACAGCAGTGGTCGCCAACCCGTGGTCTGTGAGGTCCGAAAGGTTCGTGACCACTGGTTTCAGGAAACTGTTGCAGCAGCAGTCGCCAACCTGTGGTCCAAAGACCACTGGTGGTCCGTGAGGTCCGAAAGGTTGGCGACCGCTGTATTAGAGGCCCAATTCATGCACCAGTGGGGACCCTCGGCCTGGCCTGTGGGGATCGGGCCGGAACCAGCTCTCTGACATCCCCTGAGAAGTCCCAGATTGCAAGAAGACATAGGCCAGGCCGAGGGGCCCCACAGGTGCACGAATCCATGCACTGGGCCTCTAGTATGCATATAAGATGTTTGGTTACTCTCTTCCTGCCCTCCCCCCACCCCACTTCCCTCTGAGATTCATCAGTCTGTTCCACGTTTCCATGCCAGTGTTTTCCTCTCCTGTGTTGAGTGTCTGTCCCCTGGTGGTCAGTGCATGTCATAGCTACCAGCTGGTCTGCTGGTTGCTTAGGCTTTTATATATATAGATATTTTTTATTATTTCAGAGAGAGGGAGAGAGGATAGAAACCTCAATGATGAGAGAGAATCATTGATCAGCTGCCTCCTGCACACCCCCCACTGGGGATCGAGCCCACAACCCAGGCATGTGCCTTGACTGGGAATCAAACTGTAACCTTCTGGTTCATGGGTCGACGCTCAACCACTGGGCCACACCAGCTGGGCTAATGTCTTGGTTTTAGACACTTTTCTTTTGAAGGTCTGATTCCAGTTCTGCCACTCAACTGTGTGATCTTGCACACAATTACTTAATCACCTGGGCTTCAGTTTCCTCATAGTCAATGTGAAGGCTTCGTGGAAAATGACCCTGAGATTGTAGCCAAGTCTAAAATCTTGTCCCGTATTCCCTCAGATTTTTTCAACATAAATAATATATTGTAAAATCTAATAATTAGAACCAGTAAGCTAAGTATCTACTACAGCAATGAGCATAGCGGCATTAGGAAGAATCCAGTGAAATCAGCTTAGGAAAGCAGTGAATTAGAAATTTTCTGGATCTGTTTGCCTCATAGTAGGTCCACCCTTAGGGCATGAGTAACTGGGGGAATAGCCTGATGTTTTCCTTCTGACTGAGCTGGACTAGGCTGATGTCTGCTTCAAAAGACCCCTGCTTTTGGATCTGCTCTGACAGGGAAGTGTGGTGCTAGGCCTAGCATTGCTTGCTTACATAGTACATCCAGCATATATCAGAATAGCAAGAGGGCTTCAGAATGGACTCCCCAGGTGATCTCAACTTTTGCATAGGAGATCAACTATAGCTGGCCTAACGTTCTAGCCACACATCGAGGAAGCTCAAAGGTGTGCAAAATGGTGGGCATGTGTGGGAGATAGCTCTCCTCAGAATGACCACCCCACCAGATCATATTTTGGGGACCAGGTTGGAACTGGACTGGCTTTTAAATATTGGAAAAAGATAGCCATACCCTTCTTTATTAGCTTTCCATCTGAATCAGTACTTAATTAAAAATGAAAATGCATAACTGAGGAGTACTATAACAAAGGCAATGTAGTAAAATGGTTAGGGTGGGTTTTAGAGCCAGCTCTGTCACTTTATATCTTGTTGATGTAAAGCACGTTATTTCAACTGTCTACACCTCAGTTTTCTATTTGTGAAGGGAAATGATCACTACCTCACAGGGTTGTTATGGAAACAATCCATGTAAAACATCACACACAGTGCTAGCTTGTAGTAAGCACCAATACCTGATAACTATTATTATCTTGAGTGGTTTTATGATTGTTGGGTGTCACTGCCTTAAAAAGGGGGCCCATGGACTCCTGACAATATGTGACTTTAATCAAGTTGTGTTCAGGTAAAAGAGGGTCCACATGTAACTAAATGAAGACAGACTCTTGTGTAAAGTCACATTTGTAGTCTTGAAATGAGCACATTTTCACCATGCCAAGCAATTGTATTGCCCATATTTTTATTGCCTCAATTGTGACCTTAACTATGTCATTACTTCATCTACCTACAGTTTCTCTTCCTGAGTGGTAGCGCTTGAATAAAAATAGGTATTTCCTTCAGTTTTGCCTTAGGAAAAGTGTAAAAAAAGAAAGAAAGGAAGAAATTATAGCCCTACCCGGTTTGGTTCATTGAATAGTGCATCAGCCTGTGGACCGGAGGGTCCCAGGTTTGATTCGGGTCAAGGGCATGTACCTCGGTTGCAGGCTCCTCTCCAGCCCGGGCCCTGGTCAGAGTGTGTGCAGGAGGCCACCAATTGATGTGTTTCTCTCACATTGATATTTCCCTCTGTCTTTCCCTCTCTCTTCCACTCTCTCTAAAATGAATGGAAAAATATCCTCAGGTGAGGATTAAAAAAAAAAAATTATAATGGCAGGCCCAAATGGATTTTTAAGCCACTTTTCCAATCACACTCTTCAGAAAGGGCTACCTGTTTTGTGAGGGAAGCTCTGTACATGAAATTGTTGTAAATCTCTGCTTTGCCCCTTAGCAGAAGCAGGTAACAAGGAGTGTGCTGTTTTCATCTGTTTTCAGGGCAGCAGCTCATCCCAGCTCCAGTCATGGACCGTCCAGCCCTCCTTCGAGGTGATCTCGGCACAGCCACAGCTCCTGTTCCTTCACCCGCCTGTGCCATCGCCTGTCAGCCCATGCCACGCTGGCGAGAAAAGGTCCGACTCCAAGAACTACTTGCCCATTCTGAATTCTTACACCAAAATAGCCCCACACCCAGGCAAAAGGGGCCTCTCCCTCAGCCCAAAAGAGAAAGATCGTGGAACGCAGAAGAAAATCTGTACTGAGAGACCTGGGCTGAGCCTGCTCGCCAGTGAGCCCACCAAGACAGGTGCTGTGTCATCCAGTCCCCCGACTGCAGCACCCCCCAGTGCCAAGCTGGTGGAGGACTCAGCTCTGCAGGGTGTGCCCTCCCTCGTGGCAGGCGGAAGTCCACAGACTCTTCAGCCCGTGTCCAGCAGCCATGTTGCTAAAGCTCCCAGCTTGACCTTTGCTTCCCCCGCCAGTCCTGTCTGCGCATCAGACAGCACTCTGCATGGGGTAGAGAGCACCTCCCCCCTGTCACCGCTGTCAGCTAATTATAGCTCACCTTTGTGGGCCGCAGAGCACCTCTGCCACAGCCCAGATCTCTTCTCAGAGCAGCTGCCCAGCAAACACAGGCGCTTTCAGAACACCCTGGTAGTCCTGCACAAGTCCGGCTTGCTGGAGATCACTTTGAAAACCAAGGAGCTGATTCGTCAGAACCAGGCAACACAGGTGGAGCTAGACCAGCTAAAGGAGCAGACCCAGCTGTTTATAGAGGCCGCCAAGAGCAGGGCTCCTCAGGCTTGGGCCAGGCTGCAGGCATCGCTAACCCTGGGGGCTAGTCATGCTGGCGGTGACCTAGAAGCATTCTCTGATCACCCAGACATATAGCACAGAAGGCAGACTTTCCTGTTACTTGAATGGTTCTTTTTAACTCTCTTGCTGTTACCTTACTCCTGTTTCCCAAAGCTTATGTAAAGTCTTTTCCTTCTACTCTTAAACTGTTCAACAGTTCACGTATGAAGCCTCATGCCAATCCCTGGCTGCTGTCTTAACCTGTGGTCTGTGCCCAGTTTACATATGTCTCTGTTCCACCGAGGACCTCAGATTCAGGGTGTCCTTGAGTCCCTTTTCCTTAGCCTGCAGGTGCTTAGGTGGGTCACGGGGCAAAGCAGAAGAGAGGAGCGTGTGGAGCTCTAGCTGTCACCTCCCACTGTCCACTCACTACCTGATCAGAGGTGCAGTGACATGGATGAGCGTACTGAATGACACCTGTCAAGCCAGGGAGTAGGTGACAAGGATCCCTTCCCAGATCTTCCCTTGAATATCTGAGAGAAAAGAAAGAGGAGGTGTGGTTGCACTCCTTAAGGCATCATGCCATTTGGCCAAAACCTAAAATGCTTTGGGCACAGGCTGGGCCTAGGGTGAAAACAATGACTTAAAGCTTTGTTTTTTTAAACTTGAAAGTCAAGGGAAAAGGGTGGTACCATTTAACTGACACTTTCATCACAAACCAGGTTTCTCTTCACTTAAACTGGTAGGCAAAATAACTTCAGCTTTTTAAAGTATGGAACGGATGCAGTACCATCTGGAGTTAACAGTCGATGAATTGCTTTTCTGAGTTAGAGTCTGAAGAAACACATGGTCAGTATCCCTTGGTCAGGAGCTGGAAGATTCCAGTAATTTGTGCTTTTTTTCTTTCTACTTTTGAAACAATGCAACCTGTTTTATGTGTGAAAATCTTTTTTTTTTTTTTTTTTTTTTTTTTATACAGAGAGGAAGGGAGAGGGATAGAGAGCCAGAAACATCAATGAGAGAGAAACATCGATCAGCTGCCTCCTGCACACTCCCCACCGGGGATGTGCCTGCACACTCCCGACTGGGGATGTGCCCGCAACCAAGGTACGTACGTGCCCTTGACCGGAATCGAACCTAGGACCCTTGAGTCCGCAGGCTGACGCTCTATCCACTGAGCCAAACCGGTTAGGGCTATGTGTGAAAATCTTAAAGATAGCATCATGGTGCCTGAGAGTGAGTGAGTGGTGTAAATTAACCCTCTGCTGCCACTTTTTCTTCTTTGGTTTTCCTAAAAGAGGATGTGATTATTAAGCTCGATAGATTTGAGATTAAAATCATCCTAATCATTTTAATTTCATAAAATTATATGAAATATAAGCCCACAAAGTTGGCTTCTTAACAGTTTCGCCTCCAAAGCTTTCATGTGACGCACAGTGACCTGGAGCGAGCAGGAGCAGCGTCTTCTGTGTTTCTGCCATGCGTTGGGTATTGGCAGCAAGCCCAGAGGTGTGGTGTTGCGTATGTGAGGTTTACCTGGGAATGGAGGCTGTGATGGGAATTTACAGACACACATGCTTTCAGCTTCATCGTCAAGGTAAGCTGGATTCTAATAGTAAAGCTTTAAACGTTTCCTCCTCTCATTTAAAAATGTCATCCTCTTGAAAATCTAACAACTTTTGGATGACCAGCTTTTACACAGGAAAATGTTCTTGAAGTTTTACCAAGGCCAGAAAGCAGTTAAAGCTCATATCTGCTAGGTAGTGGTAACTGTAACGTAGTTTAAAAATTACAAGGCTTTGGATCGCCTTCACTTTATTCTCAAACATGCATGAGTCAGGTAAGGCCGATTTACTAGTAAAAATAAATAACTTGGTAAAATCTCTAGACACCTGATTAACGCAGAACTATTATCTGCCATTTGCTTTCTGAAAGAGTGGCAGAGATCAGAGCCAGTGTGTCTTTAAGCAGACCCAGCTCCTTCGCGTATTTTGTCTGGGCCTCCCCCTTCTTCCTCCCCAAGTCTGCGGTACCACAGCAGCTCTGCTCAGCGCACCATGCCAGGAAGCTTCCTTTTTGGCAGAATGCATTTGGCGGCGGAGCTACAGAGACAGGTGCGTTCAGAACAGCCTGGCGCTAGCCCTGAGTCTTACTGAGTGTCAGAATCTGAACACAATTGCTGAAAACCAAATTTATTCCATCCGAAAACCTTCTGGAGCTCTAAGCCTCTTGGAATCTTCTTCCCAGACTAAGGTTTGCATTCCCGTCTGTCACAGTAAAAGATGATGAAAGCCATCGTTGATCCTCACAGCTCTTGTCTGGCCTTATGACTTAGTGCTGGAAGTCTCTAAGCTCTTAGCTTGGGTGCTTGTTGTCTAGTGGAGCTTGGGGTAGGCGAAGCCACGTAGAGAAGGGGAGTCCATTGAAGCTAGCAGACATTGGGGCCAGGGGCCATTTCAGCAAATGGAGGAACCTTGGAGTTAACCAGAAAGACCTCCGTTGGTTGCACAAGGCTGATTTGATCTGGTATGATGTCCCGTGGCGGAGCTGCTGTTTTCTGAACGTGTGAAGCCATTCTTAGCTCAAATCAGTCCTTCTGGCAGATTTTGTTGGCAATATTTAAAAAAAAAACAAAACTAGAAAAAGCTGCTGATTGAATTGGTTATGGGAATGGAGTTTAATGACATTGTAATTTATTGCTCTCATTACCGTTTATTGATTATAGTATTGTCTGACTTTATTGATTCCTTCAGCAGAAGGTAACTCATGCATATATCGAAGTGTTTTTCCAGTTATGAGTTCTTTAGGGTAGAGATTTCTTTACCAAATGTGAATTCTTTTGAAGAAGTATGAAGTTAACGTGTGAAGCCATTCTTAGCTCAAATCAGTCCTTCTGGCAGATTTTGTTGGCAATATTTAAAAAAAAAACAAAAAACTAGAAAGCTGCTGATTGAATTGGTTATGGGAATGGAGTTTAATGACATTGTAATTTATTGCTCTCATTACCGTTTATTGATTATAGTATTGTCTGACTTTATTGATTCCTTCAGCAGAAGGTAACTCATGCATATATCGAAGTGTTTTTCCAGTTATGAGTTCTTTAGGGTAGAGATTTCTTTACCAAATGTGAATTCTTTTGAAGAAGTATGAAGTTTTGTAGAAATTGACTGTGAAATGTCAGATTAAAATAAAAGACACATACTTGAAAATTATTTGGCCTTTTTGCTTTATAACTGCTTAAAAATACTAAGTGAAACCTAGAGTAAATATTTGAATTGATTTAAGTTTTGAACATATGTACTCATGTCATTTGGGCAGTTTGGGATTAGATACTGAACTTGCAGAAATTTATTGTTTGGACTTTGACCAGTGTGCAAGCAATCTTGAGGCAAATGAATGGCCCAGTGTTCCCTAGAGACTTGGACGTTTATATTGGGCCGGTTGGGAGGAGAGGAGAATGGAGTCCAATCATTTCTTCCATCTGATGTGACACTTGCACATAGAGAATTTTTAAGTGACAAAACTTCAGTTGTCCCCTACGGGATAAACTAAAGCCACGTTAAGTGAAGTTCTTTCTACAACAGACGTGCATCTCCCAGCCTTTCTCCACGCTTTCGGAGCTGATTCCTGATGCTCTGTTCCTCCTCAGGCTTCACCTAGAGAATCCCAGAAGGGTGTGGTGCCCCTAAGGCCAGTCAGGATACCCCTCCTGGGATTTTTAAGACATTGGAAAAATTAAAGCTTGTCCTCATTTAAAGGCCTACAGAGATGCCATGGTTTTAATGCTTACAGCCCTATTTCTCTCCAACACAATTTTCTGTCACTTAGAATCCAGACAAGGGAGAGCACCCAGAGCGGACCCTGCGAGACGGAGGAGAGCACCATTGTTTGAGTGTGTAACCCCTTTCCCCCTCGGCATGATTCCTGCTCATGGAAATAATTCCACCTAGACGCCTGTTCGTGAACATGTCTGTTAGTCCACATCTTTCATGGCAGCACTGCAGATAGCAGCCTGGTGTGCTGGGGTCAACAGACCTGCACATGCCTGTCACGTGTTACTCATTAGCTAGGTGACTTTGGCTCAGTCACTGGGCCTGCCTAAGTGTCACTCCTCTCACTGAATAATAAAGTATTGGACCTGGGTCTCTCCATAGTTTTCAGCTCTAACCATTTGTAAGACCTCTACCTAGGTTACAGCTGAGCCATAAAATTAATAATTTATTTATTTATTTATTTTTTTACTTACAATGTAGGCTCCTAGTGCTTTGTTAGGATAGCTTTATATTTACAGTCAGACTTTTACTGCAGGTGACTTTTAGCTGTCAGACTTTTACTGCAGGTGACTCTGGAAGAACCCTTTTGCTAGTCTGTATTCATTGGTTTTGCCTTCCTTGCAGCTAACATGGATTCACTAATTCCCACATAAAAGACTACTCCCAAAGACTTATTAGCCCCAAAGGAGAATAGCTTGGGGTTAAATCAAATCATGGTCTTTCCTAGTCAGTCATCTGCAAAAGCTCTTTCCTCTCATCTGAGATGAAGGACAGACCTGGTTTTATGTTTCAGAGAGTATGTCATTTAGCTTTTCTTTCCTTCCTGATTTCTCTCCCACAGCCAGGAAGGATGTTCCCGTGTGTTCTTTATCATAGGATGTCACGTGACATCCAGGGTCATGGTGAAGTGCGAAACAATGACTCTGACGGGTGTTTAAGCTGCTCCACAGAGCAAGGCAGGCTCCTTATCCTTTAGGGTTGTCATTTGCTTGGGACAATTAAGACTTTTACCAAAACCTTATTTACAACTAATGGGAAGAGAGCAAATCTCCACTCATCCTCTGTCTGATTTCTTGGAAGGAGTTCGTCTGTGGGTCCAACCACTTTGGCGTTTTCTTCTCAGAATTCCTCCTTTTTTCTTAGAACACGTGGCTTTCCTGTCTTTCTGAAGGGTGGTTATGCAAGACATTAGAGAGCTGCTTGCAAGAACAGCCTGGATGGTTACTGCCTCAGATTGCAGCAGCTGGAGGAGATGAGCAAGAGAGAGAGAGAAGCCTGTGGAGTCTGAAGTCAACCCAGCAAGTGGGTGGGAGCTGCGATGAGAGGAGGGGAATAAAAACGGAAAGCAGGACCCTGCCCGCCTGCTCGAGGGCCCCTGTCAGGTTGTGTGATTAGTGAGCCCCAGGCCTTCAGAGCTGCTTGAGAGCCTGAGAGTAAAAATAGCTGCC